TTGGGGCTATCTCCAAAGTCGTATTGCTACAGGGAAGGTTATGCTGAGTCAATTAGGATTACAATGGAGGTCTCACGTATAAGAATAAAGGGAAACAAGGTTTTCTAGGATTATTGGGGCCACATGGAAGGATAATAAATGCAGGATCTTTAGACAATGAGAAGAAATGGTCTTGACACCATTCTTAAACTGCATTGTTAGTAGGGAGGACTTTGTGGTCTTCGTGGGTGGACTGCCTGTATCTTTATCTAAATTTAGAGGCTAACTCCAAAAAGGCTGAAAGTGCATGGAATTTGGCAGCCAGTGGACTTGGGTTGGAGTCTCAATCCCCCTTTCATCAGCAGTGCAATTTTGGGCCAAGTGCCTAATCATCGTGAGCCTTGGTTTTCTCATCTCTCCATGGAACTCCATCTCTCTTATAGCAGAAGCATCTACCCATTTTCTGACAATCTGAATCATCACGCACTCAGCCTCTCTTGGCACCTAATTAATCCTGTCAGTGACTTTAGTGAGCATGGTCATCCTGTTTTTATTCTTGTCAAAATCTTGCCAGGAAGCTGGATTTTAAGGCTGAAAGACCTCTTTACTATTAGAAACAGTGAGAGAAAATCCAGTCAATCTGAAATAGAATCCTAGATCTTGAATCGCAGATCTCAGTAGGGAACTGATATTGTTGACTATGGGTTAAAAGTCAGTTTCACAAGATTGTTGTGATTGTTGCATAAAAAAAAGTCTATGAAATCATTTTGCAAACCCATAAGGCTTGATTAAAATACTAGGTGGAATGACAAATTGTTTTCATGCCATGGTCTTTGAAAGAAATAAGCTAGAATTCAGTACTTTGCAGAGGTGTTTGCAGAATCCAGAAGGGCTCCTTTCTGAAGCTCACTTTATTCCCTTCTCTGGTTTATGGCCACCAGAACCATAGTGGCTCTCTCTTACTGACTGGCATGAGTGAGGGCCTGAGCCCTGCACCTGTGCCTGCAGTAGGATGCTGACCTCTCTGCTGAGTCCTGGAGCCCACAGTTGCCAAGGAGAACCAAATCCACCTCGAACCATTTTGCTGGGCTGAGTCACAGCACCTGGTTGGGACTGGTTGGGCAGTGCTTACCTTTGCTAAGTTCTTCCGTGTGGGTGGTTAGGCACAATTGATCCTTGCTTCTGGGGAGGGTTTTTTTTTCTCTAGAGGAGAGGTTTTGATAACAACTGTGAATTCTTCAGGACTGCCTATCAGTAGGGCTAGATTGTTTTGTAACGTGATAATTACTACCTCATCCAAAGTATGGGGAGCTTGGGAGAAGGGCAGCAAAGATAGAGAAGGCTTATTATTGGTTATCCAAGGGATGTTCATGAAAACATTCATTAGTGCAGCTCAGGAGAAGGAAAATGCGGTGTCAGCAGAGTAGCCGGACCTGGGCAGCATTGCCCTGCCTGAGGATAGACCAACATTCCAAAAGTTTACTGGAGCAGCATAGTTGGCCAGAGTTGACCTTATTATTCAGGGGACAGAACTGTGGCTTAGAAATGGAGGGCCGGTGAGTTTAACTCTTACGTTTTACCTTTTACATTCTGAATTACTTATTTATCTTTTTGTTTCCTTAATTTTTGTCTTAAGAAGAACTTCACCAAACACTTGCAGGCTATTCAGCATCAGTCAGTGAAGGTGCCTTCAGGGAGCCACTTTGAGAATCAACTGCTGACTGCAGGTTCCTCTGCAATCAGGAAATCTGGTCCTAATCTGAGATGTGCTGTTGTTCTGCTCCTTGCTCTTTAGAGTACGGTCCAGATTAGCAGCTTTCCCTGGGAGCTAGTTAGAAGCGAAGGGTCTGGGGCTCCACATAGACCCACAAATCAGAATCCATGTCTTACATTCCCAGGTATTTCGTGTGCACCAAGCAATATGAGAAGCACTGACCTCAATGATAACCTTGGGGGAAACGTGGGATTCTTCTGTCCTGTCTTCCTGCTCTATTTATTTGGCATTCTTAGAGCCTAAATTTAACATTTGGCAGCTGCAAATCTATGAATTTTCCTCTGACCCTGGGCAAATCGGAGCCTCTAGGGACTTGTGAACTTCTGATATTAACTAAAGTGTCACAACATGGTATAGGAAGAGGATGGGGAAGCACAGATTTGCAGGTGGCGGCGGGGTTCTGTGTAAAGGTGCCTTTGACCTACTCATTTAGAAATCTCCCAGGGTGCCTCCTAGAATACGTATTTATTGATGTCCAAGAAGGCCTATCACAACGTTGTCTATAATAAAATACTTTAAATGCAATGAAATACAATCCAGATGTGAATGAAATCAAGCTATGGATTAATACAAAAAGTGTATTTGAGAGGAGGCTGCAGAAGGTTGTTTCACTGTGGTATCTTTCATTTAAAGTGTGGAAGAATCGTATGTATTCAGTGGAAGCATATGTGTAACAAAAGTACAAAGACTTGGATAGGAATGATAAACACCAAGTTCAGACGTGGTAGTGTTGAGAAAGAAGAGGGTGTTTGGGTGGGAGCTGTAACAGTTCTTTCAGATATTTTATCTCTCAAAAAGGAAAGGAGGAAGGGAGAGAGGGAATGAGGGAGGGGTAAAGATACAAAGATTGCAGAAGAAATCATGGAAAAGCAAGATTTTTTTTTAAAGGAATGAATACATAATTGCTCATGATACTGTTCTCCACAAGTTTTTGAATACTTAACAGGGTTCATCATAAGATATCAGTAAACTCCCCTGGTAACTGTGAGGCCAGCACTGGGCATTTGGGAGTGACTACCTGACATATTCCTAATGACCTTCCAGGTCCAACTGTGTTCGGGCTCAGTCATCTCTCCCAGCCACCGTCTCTTGCTCTTAGACACCTGTGCTCAGGGCCCACAGTGTCCCTGCATTCTGACCTGGAAGTTGTAGCCATGTCCTGTGCTTGCTATGGGGGTGGAACCCACTCTTCCCACCCCGAGGGGCCCATCCCGCAGGGGCCTCCTCTCTGCTGCCTGCCTCTCTCCTCTAGTAGAAGAGAATCTGCCCTCAACTCTCCCAATCCCAGAGCTCTACCTTCCCTTTCTGTGTTGATTTTCACTTCATTATTGATTCTTCAATTCCATGGTGGGACTTGGTTGGACATGTCCACATGAACCTGTTAATCCCAATGATTTTCAGTTTACCCCACGTCTTAGTTACTTTTCCCATTGCTGAGACAAAATACCCAACCCAAAGTTAAAGGAGGAAAGGTTTATTTAGCTCACAGTTTGTAAAGCTTTCAGTCCATAATCAGCTGGCTTCAGGGCAAGGTGGTATGGCAGACAGGCATCACAAAGAAGAAAAACAGCTCACGGCAGGCAGAAGGTAGTAAAACAAGCAAGGGGCAGCTCTTTCTATCCCTTATATCTTATCCAGGCTACTTAGGGCAGCTAGCACTCACACCCTTAATCCTATGTCCTTGATCCTAGCATTGCACTATGGATCAATTCCAGCATCACACACTGTAGATTCAGTCACCTCTGAAAAAGCCCCACCTATGACTGTGTGAAGCTTTGAGGGGACATCTAGACACAACTGTAATACCCCAACTGTCACTAAATGTGGCATATTTGCTAGGTTAGTGGCCAGGATGATGCTACATACCCTAGAGTCTGCAGAGTAATCCCACACACCTCACAAGGAATTGTTCAGCCTTGTATATTACTAGTGCCGAGGGAGAAATCCTGCTCCTTGGGACCTCAGACCACAAATACATCGCTGCCAAGGAGGGAGGGTGGAGGTGACTTCAGCTCCTTTAGAGAGGCATGGAAGAACAGGGGTGTAGGACTCCTAGGGATTATAAGCAGACTATCGTTTATTATTCCCATAGCATGTTGGGGGTCAGGGAGTAATTACGGAGATTAGGGGACAACTGGAGAAGAACCAAGTCCAGGCAGGGGGGAGAATAGAAAGAAGGTGCCTGTGTTAGTCAGCTATCTGTTATGACAAATGCCGAACTTAACCACTTTATAAAGAGACAGTTATTCCGGCTCATAGTTTCAGGGTTTCAATCCAGAATCAGCTGGCCCTGTTGCTATGTACCTGTGCTAGTACATCATGAGTGTGTAGGCAATGACAGTACAACCTCTCACCTCATGGCTGAGAAAAAAGAGAGAAAGAAGAGATGGTAGTTCCACAATTCCTGTCAAGGGCACACCCCCAGTGAAGACCTCCCACTGGGCCCTGACTGCTAATGATTCCACCAACTTCCAGTAGCACCATCAGTGGGCTGGGCCCAAGCCTTTACCCCATGGGTCTTTGAGAGACATTCTGGATCTAAAGTGTCACACTTCTTTGGATGCCTTTGATCTTGCTTGGCACCCTACATAATGACTCCTGCATGCTGTAGAAAGACAGGATGGCTTATTTAAAGATTTTACCCATGCGAAGTCTGGCAGATCATTACATGAATGCCCCACTGTGTCACATCACCCTTCACTCACTTTGTTATGATGTGATTCTGCTATTTTTGTCCTCAAGAGGTGGAGTCTGTTTTCGTGCCCCATGAGTTTGGGACAGCCTTGTCACGTGCCTCGAGTAAAAGACTGTGGGGGGAGTGGTGTTATATGGCTTCTGAGGTGTTCAGCTTTCATTTTCTCTTTCACAGAGCATTTCTGTCACCATGTGAAGAAGCCCACCCTAACTCAGCCTTCTTGAGCAAAGGGCCCAGGTGTCCATTTGTCCCAGCATAGTGCAGGTCCTGGCTGACTCTTTGGATCAGTGTGAGTGACTGTGTCAGGAAACCCCAATAGAATCGACTCATCCACCCAGCCAGCCCACAGGGTAGCAAGCAGTGATAGGTTATGGTGATTTTAAGCTGTTAAATGCTGAGATGGTTTACTAGACAGAGACAGACAACTCGTATTGTGTATAAGTGACTTCACACACATCAGTGGTTGTTGTATTTGCCTTAGAATGTGCATGCAGAATAAATATCAGAACTTGATTAAGGAAAACTGACTTTCTCTTTCTTTGTTTCCTGCAGCACTTCTCAGAACTTCTGGATGAATTTTCCCAGAATGTCCTGGGCCAGCTCCTGAATGACCCTTTCCTCTCAGAGAAGAGTGTGTCCATGGACGTGGATCCATCCCCAACATCCCCAGCACCTCTTATCCAGGCTGAGCATAGCTACTCCCTGTGTGAGGAGCCTCCGGCCCAGTCTCCATTCACCCATGTGGCCACCAGCGACAGCTTGAATGATGGTAAAACTCAGAGCGGGGAACACAGCTGGGACCCTGATACTTTTGATTCTGAGCTCTTTGAAGTGGTGAACGTGGGTTATGTTATCATCAGTCCTCACGTTAGCCAAATACCTGCTCTTCACAGGCCTGGTACGTGAGCTAAGGAAATGCTAAGAGGTGCAGGGAGAGTTTCTGTACACTAAACTGAGTCCCTGGGAACTTGCTATAACTAAATCCTCCTAATTACTTTCTTTGGTCCTGTTGGCTTGGGTGACTGAACAGCCACTTGCAAATCAGGCTGGCCTCTAGTTGATAGTTCCCACCAGTCCAATAAGTCTGTCCTTTCAAGAAATGGTGTTTTTTTTTTTTTTTTTTTTTTTTTCTT